GCCCTCGATCAGTCACACGCAGGCGGCCGCGCCAGAGTGTCAGGTCCTCCCTGTAACCGCTTAGGACACCTGACAGGGAGGGGGTAGCCTATGAAACACCACCCCATTCTTGTGCTTCCAGAGCCGCCAGCAGCAAAGCTGGACAAAGACGGTGGGGGAAGCCCCCTGACAGTGTTGGAGACATCGAGCGACTGCAGAGCACGCACTGAAGCACCAGAGAGACACACACCCAGGTGCTGCCAGAACTGAACGACAAAGGGCACTCGAAGATCATGTGATTAGCCGTCTTAGGGGCAGAGGCACAGATGGGGCACTCCTCGTCTCCAGGCGAGATGATCGTCTTCTTGAGCAACACGCCGCACATGTGGACCCGACATTGCATGAGCAGCTAGTCGAAGAACTGCACTCTGGACGACGCCCGTGACTCTTATAGGAAGATGGCTTGGGGCGCTTGGGTGGCCCTAAAGTGGGCAAGCTCATACACCCGGATAGAGGAGAGTGCACCATGGGGAGCTGCAGACACAGGAAGCCACCGCGCATCCACCACGAGGAGGGACGACACCGCCGCCATGAGCACGAGGAGCTCTGCATGTTGGGCCTCGCCGCAGCGAGTAAGACGAGGAACATGCAATTGTCCAGCCCCCCGCTCACAAACACCCCAGACCGTGAGATTATTCATACTTCCTGGTAGTTTGGATAGAAGAAGTGAGCCATAGTGTAAAAATGCAAGTTTTTAGCCGACTTTTAGAAAAATTGGTATTACTTGAATAACCAGATTATACAAAAATATGTTTTGGTCTGGAAAGTGCAAAATGGGCACATTCAGTTTTTGTTTGGATACTGGTTTGGACTCCTCCAGTGGCCTTCTCTCATGACATTCTCTCTTAATGGTCTTTGATTCCTCCTCCCGGTCTCCTTCCTCCGTCCCTATACGCACACACCTTCATCTGGCTACCCGTTTCTTTTGTTCCTCCTCATCGCAAACAATTAATTGAACTGAACCGTATGCCCTGCATCGCACACACAACTAAAATTTGAACCATGTTTGATGCATCCGCCATCGCAAATGCTTTGCACCTTTTTGACGGTTTTTACACCATCATTTGCGATTATTGCATCGCGCACAGTTTCGTTGAAGGGTCTCTCATCGTAGTGTCGTGTTGGCAGCATCCTGTAGTAGTGGGTAATAGATGGCGTGTTGATGATGAACTCCTTGCTCTTGTGCTTCAAATGATAGTCTCCCCCAACACTCAACTCTCTCTCACAGATTTGGCTATGGTGGAAAGATGATTTGAGCGGAAAGCAACTTGGGGAAGGCTAGAGATCAAGATTCTTGTGGTTGGATTGGAATGTCTTGGTCTCAACACATGAGTAGGTGGTTCTCTCTTAGAAAATGAGTAGTGGAAGTGTAGGCATGTTCTGATGTCTCTCTCTCAAATGGAGAAGGGGGTGGAGGGGTATATATAGCCTCCACACAAAATCCAACCGTTACACGCATTTGACCCAACTCGGTCAGACCGAATAGAAGAACTCGGCGAGACCAATTCAGTTCAAAATGTGAACGTTAGGAATCTTAGTGGGACCGACATGATCAACTTGGTGGGACCGATGTGCTATGGTTAGGGCAAAACCTCATCTCCATGAGACCGATTGCATAAACTCGGTGAGACCGATTTCACCAATGAGCAGACAGAGAGTTGGTCAAGCAAACTCGGTGGGACCGATTGCATATTTCGGTGAGACCAAAATAATTACAACAGGCAACAGAGAGTTTGCAAGGCCATCTCGGTGAGATCGAGATCCTGATCGGTGAGATCGAATTGACTAGGGTTTCTAGCCGTGGCTAGGCCAGCTGAACTCGGTGGCGCCGAATAGATCAAATCAGTGAGGCCGAGTTTGACTTTTTAGGTTTTGGAAATATGTGGAAATGAGAAAGTGGTTGGGGGTTTTGGAGCGATATCACTAAGAACTTTGAGCAAGTAGACCATTAAGCAACATCTCATCCCCTTTTAATAGTATTGGCTTTCCTATGGACTCGATGTGATCTTGGATCACTAAAATGAAAATGAAGAGTCTTGAGCCTTTGCCAATCTTTGTCCTTAGAATTTTGAGGGGTCCACATCTCTAGTCCATGCCATGCCAATCATTGAATTTTCTGAAATATTTAACTTGAATGTATATTAGTTCAATGAGCTATATGTTGTTATGAATTACCAAAA